GCGAGTTCCTAATGAGACGGCAATCTGAGCACAATCACCGTTGACTTCCGCAGTGTCCCGCCGCCTACAGATTCTCGCCCCAATTTCGAGTCCCCCGCGAGAACCAAGACGTGTCTTTGACATCTGTTGCGCAACCTGACTTACTCAAGCCCATGAGTAGCGTTCCGGAAGCTTGAAAGCCGGGATCTACCTCGAGATACGCGCTAAAGATAAGGGTCTAGTCCCCTTATCCTCTAGCATGCGTGGGCCATACCCCAGAGGATCAAATCTTACTCCTCAGCTAGGCCAACAAGCTTCAGAGCGGTCTACGTGCAAGAGCCTCATCAGCAACGGCAGTATCGGCGATGCTTTCATGAAGATCGCCAATGCGTGCGCCATGACTAGGCAAGCTGTAGCTCTAGTCTTCTCATCCTGGTATGGCTTGGTGTAGAATCTCTCCACCCCGGTGACGATTGCGGCTTGTCTTGGGCCTGAGCGTCTAGGAGAGTATCGATTGACCAGACGTGCTGACTCGGTGTATCAGAAAGTACCTGGGTGCTGTGAGGGCATATAAACCATACTGCAGTCCACCTACAATCATCATCCAGCTCACCTACCACACTCTTTCAGTTCTTTGCCAATCGCTCAGTTCGCTATAGACTAATAATACTTATCCCTCTTAATATCCACCAACCCACCAACTCACCAACAAAACTCCAACCGCCAACATGCGTTCCTCCATCGCCGTTAGCATCATTGCTCTCTCCACCTCGGTCCTCGCAGCCCCTACTCCTCAGGTTGCTGGCGTCAACAACCTTCTTGGTTCCGTCACCAGCACCCTCGGCTCTGTCACCAACCCCGGTGCCGGCAACGACAACCTCATCCAGGGCAACGGCAACAGCAACGGCCAGAACAACGGCAACGGAAACACTGCTGGAAATGGCAACGGCAACAACAACGAGGCTGGCAACGGCAACTCTGCTGCCAGCGGCAACAGCTTCAACCTCAAGCCCCTCGGCAGCAGCATCCTGAACAACGGAAAGCGTGCGGCGCTTCTCGACAACCTCAACGGCGTCCCGGTTGCTGGCACCATCCTCAGTGGCGTCACTGACGGCAAGGGCGGTCTCCTCAACGGTGTCACTGTTGGCCCTACCACCGACGGCATCACCAACGGTGTTCCCGTTGTCAATGGCCTCGTTGGCCGTGGTGTCACTCAGGGCCTTGACGTCAGCCAGCTGAGCCAGACCCAGCTCCTCTCCCTCCTCAGCCAAGTCACCGGCGCCCTCCAGAACACTGGCAACACTGCTACTGGCACCGTCAAGCCGGTTACCGACGCCACCGTCCCAGTGACTGATGCTGTCAAGCCTGTCGCAGCCGCTGCCGGAGATGCCGTGAAGCGTCAGTTGAACGTTGGTGGTCTCACTGGCACTGCCGGCGGCCTCGTTGGTGGTGTTACTGGCACCACTGGCTCCGTCACTGGTGCTCTTAAGCCCGTCACTGGTCAGCTCCAGCCCGTCACCGGCACTCTCAAGCCCGTCACCGGCGCCACCGGAGGCCTCACTGGAGATCTTCTCAAGCGTCAGTTGAACCTTGGTGGTGTCACCGGTACTGCTAACGGTCTCGTCGGCGGTCTTACTGGCTCCACTGGCTCTGTTACCGGCACCCTCAAGCCCGTCACTGGCCAGCTCAAGCCCGTCACTGGTGCTCTCAAGCCCGTCACCGGTACCCTCCAGCCTGTCACCGGTACCGTCACTGGCGCTACTGGAGGCCTCACTGGCGATGTCCTCAAGCGTCAGGTCGACCTCAAAAGCGTTACTGGCACCGTCAGCGGCCTTGTCGGTGGCATCACCACCACTGCTGGCTCTGTCACTGGCGCCTCTGCCGGCAGCGGAAACTCGCTCCTCAACAACGGCAACAACAACGGCCAAGGCAATGGCGTAAGTCTCCTTCCAACACCCCCTATCTCGACTGTCAACTAACATCACCCTTAACAGAACAACAACCAGGCCGGTAACGGTAACGGCAACGGAAACAGCGCTGGAAACGGCAACCAAGCCGCCAGCGGCAACGACTTCAACGTAAGTCCCGAAACCGAGCTTCCTGAGATCAACGGCCCGCTCGTCGAGCTGCCTGACCTCAACCTCGCTCCCACGATCAAGTCAGTCTAGTCTAGATCATTGGGTAGTAGCAAGAGTTTCATGACATGTGCTAACGGTCTCTCGCAGCTTTAAGTGAAGGCGACTATGAATTGAGTGCGATATACTCGGGACGACTTTCCTTTCTACGATGACGATGGCATACTCTGGTTTGCTGGATCTCTATACATATTTAGTAGTAGTACCAATGTACTCTTTTGACCACTGAAAAAGTTGCATTTTATCCAATTGTTCCATGTGTGATGGCTCAGTAACAGAAGTCCCCAACAGCTTCACACACCTTCAGTCAACAACAGATGCCACAGTCCTAAGATTCGTCATCTTCATGCTTACACCTCCATCCCCATGTCTACTTCCGTGTCACGTATCTGAAGCTGTCCTTGTCTATTTGCACTTAGCAAAGTGTTGAAGAACTGTTATCACGAGATCTACAAATAATGAAAACTTTGTTTGGCCAACTTGTATCAGCATTGACGGCAGCAGCAACATCACGCCAGTCGTGCACGGACACACCCATCGAAAGCAGTTTCCTGTATAGCCCTTTGCACAGGGTAGGAGTTGATGAAGATAATTAAACGTCATTAGGTAGTACGTGCTCCTATTTTGCTCGCAAACACCGCATGCATAGTAATTATTTTGCACCGTTCTTAATGACCACCAGTGGTGGGTAACTAGAAGGCAATTAGCACAAAGTCGTTGTACGTGTCTAGGTGAAAAACTTACGCCGAGGTAGACCTTGAAGGAATCGTAGATGAGCCATTGGAACGCAGTCAAAGTACCAATCATGAATATACGAACAGGCAGTCCGTTCCAAAGGCCGCCGAACCCGATCTTGCCGTATATCCTGCCGATAGCCTGTCCAGCGCCCTCGCCAGCCTTTCTGTCGCTGTTGAGTTTCGAGACCATCACGTCTAGTATGTGTTAGCTCAGTTCCGCGATTTTAGAGTTTTTACGCAATGTTGTTAACATACCTGCGGGATGAGAGACAACTGCGCATCCGACACCAGCAATGTATCCACCGAGAAAGCTCACACCGGTTTGCTGCAAGGCCCCGTATGACTCCTTTGGCTTACCCAAGAAGCCGTAGATTTGCTTGACTGTCTCTTCGAATGTCGCGAACTTGACCATGGTGTACGGGATTTGACGCGCCCACAGAGGGTACAAGCCCTTGTACAAACCACCAACACCCTCCTCCTTGATCACCTTTGCCCAGCCTTCTCTCAATGTGTTTGCGAACGGTGGCATGGTAGTCTGCATGCGGACCTTGATTGCTTCCATAGGACATAGCGCGATGTCGGCGAGGAACTCGGCGGAAGCGGAGGCAGCTAGGTATACGACTGTTTGCGGCGCGCCGGGCGCCAGCTTTTCGCCGTACAGGTATTTGAATACCTCGTAGAATCCGTACTTTCCAGCACCTTGCATGGAGTAGCCGATGAAGGTTGGTGTCCAGCCGAAGAACACGCCCCGTAGACCTTCTTTGGAGTAAATCATTTTCCAGGCTTGTGAGTTGGACTTGTAGAGGTTGGAATCGACTTGACGGCGGCATTTCACCTGGAAAACATTAATTAGCAACTGAAAGCCTAATTGACAGCCTGTCAAGTCCCCAGGCCATCACGCGCTCTCTGCAAAAGTATGCGACTTACCAAATCCAGCGGCGTGACCATAGTGTGTGTAGGTCCACACGCGATTATGCCACCCATCGTACACGCCGCAAAGTACGAGCCTGAGAAGAGCTCGATCTTTCTCTGCGGCTTCATCGCGTCCAATTTGTTGGCCATTGTGAGTGATTACCGAATTCCAATCGCTTCAATCGCGTTTATGGGCTTGTTATCGCGTGCGGTATGGTAGCTATCGTCGTGTCCGCGCCGGTTGACTGGTATAATCCTTGTCGCGTGCTGCTTCCCAGGATGCTGTCGCAAGCGAAGAAGAGATTGAGGATTTGTACAAAGGATAGACGAACGCTGATTAGAAGAGAGAACGGGAGATCGGATTAGACTACCTAGGCACAAAAGCCGACCGGGGCGCCTTGTTATGACCGCACAGCTTGGATAGTTGGAAAGCTTGTCCGCAGCTTCCGCAATTACCTCGCTATGACGTCGCTGCTGCAGGTGGGACGCGCGACCACCACGCTGACGAAGCCTAGCGTGATGCTTATCGATACATGAACCCCCGACCCTCCGCGCGCGAACTGTCGGGTTTCGCTGCCAACAGCGCAATGAAAATCCCGTTCTGCTATGTTGAATGTCAATCAACTTTGTGATAAATGCGGGTGGAGAGAAATCATTCCATATTTCTTCACGTTGACTTCGTACGAACTAAGATCCGCGACTTACTCGACTGCTCGGCCAGCTTCACGCTGGAGAAACAGGATGTTATTATTTGCGTGATAATCATTATTATTTGCTGTGTCGTGAAGAGGCTGAAGGTCGTCAAGCGTGATCGTCATACCTGGTCTTTAATATACAGACTCCCTCCGTCTAAGTACGCCAAAGCACCACGCTATGCCGCCCAAGCATGAACAATAAAGCAAAGAATGATGAAGAACCGAAGCCAAAACGCCAATGCCAGGGTGCATCACCTGCAGTCCACATGAAGCATCAATCCCTATCAATGACTCCGTCGAAGATCCGGAATGTGCAGGGCTCAAAAACCGTCTGCATATGCTCTCATGCTCTCATGAAACCCATGAATCAATCCCCACCACCCTGAAATCTCGTTGAAATCGTGATTCGCTCATCTGGTAACAATGCGAGCCTCAACTCTTCGCTGAAGGGCCGCTGCTGGCGCCGCCATACCACAAAGAAGCGAAGATAATGAGCGGATGGAGCTGGGTAAATTGCGGGCGGACGGAAGGCCACCCAACAATTACATGTTGTTATCGTGTATGTTGTCAGTCTCTGAATCACTACCAAAGTCGGAATGATCATAGAGATCTTCCGCTGATAGGCCATCGTCCTGTGGCCATGTCTCTAGCCTTGGCTCTATCTCTCCAGTCCAGTGTGCAATTCGAGAGCTGTCGTTGGTGTCGTCTCTGTATGGATCCAATTCGGGATCCTCGCTATGGATCAGATCGTAGAGCTGCTGAACGAGAAATCGGCAAGTTTCGATGAGAGGAGATAGATGAGGTTTGAGCATGCCGTGATCCTTCTCGTACAGAATGCGCTCCATCATGTCGGAGGCCATCTCGCGGAGTACTCTCCACCTCATTTGCACCAGATCTAGAGGCCATCCTTCGTAGCTCTTGTATAGCTCGCAGACCAGCATATGTGCACCTTTTCGCACACTGTCTTGTGCGTGTAGCAGCAAAGGAGTGGCCCATATGCGGCTTTTCGCGATGATCCATGTAAAAAATATGTGTCGGTGCTTTTGTTGAAAGATGGCCGCATTCTTTGTTTGCAGAAGACCGCCAACAAAATCCAGAACCGCCAAGCCTCCTGGTACACGGTCATCGTCCATTCTACTGGCTGACGCGACCGCCTTCGAAACCGTTGTCACGATCTTGTAAACGTTGTCCACCATCGGAGAGCTCTCGCAATACGAGAGTGCCGCTTTCACGTAAGAATCGCAGAAAGGGGCTTCGAGGGAGACACCCTCGTAGATGCTCTTCAAAAGATTAGTCTGGACTTGTGGGTCCTGCCAATTGAGCATCGATTTGACGATATCGCCCGGGTGGAAGTGTTCCAACTTTGTCTCATCGAACATTTCCAAGGCCTTGTCTAGAACCGCGATCGCCTTCAGGTCGCTGTCCCAGTGGTACAGAACTTGTCGTTCGTGGAATGTTAGTGGAAACCTCGAGGTCTCCCGATCCAGCGTAGACAGACGATCGTGCTCGTGGCGAAGAGGTTGCAGACTCGTGTTCATGCGTGAGAGCAACGCTGATACGAAACCAATGAATCTGTTGTAGATACCCGACTTCTTGCTTATGATTCTCCAGAGATCGGGTTGGTCGTCCTGGAATCTAGCGTACGAGTGCATGCAGAGTAGCCTCAAGCAGAATACCAGGAAGCCATGGTCCAATAGAAGACCGGTTTCCAGATGGCCCATCTCGGCCAGTTGAGTCAGCGTGAGATAGAAATCATCCCAGCCCCGTACGGCCATGTAAGATTCGTCTGCAATGGCACGTAACCTAGCGGTAATCTCTGAAAGTATACCGTTTGTCGGAGTGGAAGATTCCAGATCCATCTCGTTGTCTGCGCCCTCTAGACCGTACAGAGCGGGCTCTTTCTCTCGCAAGACTTTGAGACAGTCGATGAAAAAGATGCGCATCTGGGACCGCACTTTAGCATGCATGCAGCGAAGAAGCATGTTGAGAAGGGCAATATCGTCGGTAGCGAGTATCTTGAGAACGATATTGCAGCAGGTTGAGCATGGAAGGACCGACCGCCGCAGCTGTAGTATCGTCTCGGAGAAGATATCGGCATTTGTATGACGCCAGACGATGTGCCCTAGATGCGCGAGTACTATCTGCAAGGAGTGCTTTTCCTGTAGGAAGTTAGCGTCTCGGACTTAGGAGGTTGAAGATAACATGGCGTACCTGCGTGTGTCCTTCGGAGCAAGAACCGTGGTTGAGTGTACGTGACATAGCATGCAGCTGCCGCACGAACCTTGTATGATTGGGGTCGAAGCGGGAATATTCTCGGATAAACAGCTCGTTGGCAAAATCAACTTCCTTCTGGAGAGTTGGCGGCATGGGAACCTTGAGCGTTTTCCCGTCTGCAGAAGTGACCCACTCACGCTGGTCATCATCCACAGCGGTGCGGCGTTGATAGAAGAGCATATATGCCGAGTATTGTTTTGGTATGCGGTTGTATGAATCGTCCGTGAAGCCTCCGAAAGCTTTGTAAGCAATGTCTGCTGGGTCGAAAGACCCAACACTGCTATCATCAAATTCCACCCAGGTTTGTGCCGTGGTTCCTGTGGGACAAGGTCGCTCACGAATGTAAGAATAGTAATGACCGTGCTCGCAGGTGCCCGTGTGTACGAGCACACCAACAAGATCGAACATGTCGGCTTCTTTTGGTTTGCTTGGGTCACTGAGATGGTCGACATGGTATGCGCTAATGTCAATGGTCGGTGGGAACTCGAAATAATCGTAGACCTTCCTACGGCTAAAATCGGCCAGGTCGAATTCGAAGCGCTTTAGGTGGAAGATGAGGTTGTCGGGCACCTCCTTGAAACAGGTCCTGATTTTGTCAGCTTCTTGCTTTACCAAATACACATGCGACTCACCGCTTGACTGCGTCGACGTATTTGCCATCGCACTTCTCGCACTTGTACTTGTTGTCGCCTTCCATGACATCGCCTCTAACAAAAGCCTGGAGACTCTCCTGTAGCGTTGCTTTGCCCAAAACATCGCATTGTATTGCAAAGAAAGGCTCTGATCGTTCCGAGACATGCTCACATTCCTTGGATTTGATCTGATTCAAGGTTTGCCCTCCGTAGAATGAGCGAAATTGCTGCTTGTGCTCGTCCTTGATGAGCTGTCGTTCCCACTGATCGAAGAGGGAATTGTAGAATTCATCTGCGTCCATCTGAACGCTGATGTCTATTGGCATGAGTTCTGAGTTCCTTACGCAAGCTGCAAAGCTCCGGGGATCCGCGGCTTTGCGGAAGGAATGCTGCATGTTCGTGAACAGTCTCTGGGTCTCAAGAAGAAGTTTTTGAGAGCCACTGGCTTCCTGAAGCTCCAAACCGAGAATAAACTTGCGGAAATTGAGGTTCATGAAGAGCTGCGTGAGAAGCGAGTTCGCGTAGCAGATGGCACGAGGGTTGTACAGACCCACATAGCCTGTGCTAGAGCGTATTTCCAAGGAGCGATCGACTGCAAGCGTTGGTATTGCTGGCTCATTCTCCTCGGTCTCTACGTCTGCTGCAAGTTTGACCAGGCTATTGTACGTGCTGCTATCCTCAGCTAGTGCAAGCATGAGATCGTACATCTCATGCCTTGTGTGAGACTCCAGTATGGGAGCAGTGGCTGCGCTGACCACTGCAGTAGAGGAGCTGGGCCATGTCAGTATGTCACTTGACTAAAAGAAGAGAGAGTAAGATGCAAAACTGAGGTGAGGTCAATGCGAACAAGTGAAACATGAAAATGATGTGCGTGACTTACCTCTTCGTAAAGATGTACTTCCTGAAGATCTTTTCCATCAAGTCGCCTGCACCAAGAGGCTTCTTAAAAGACTTGAGTGACAGTATGCAGCACAGTATGAGTTTCGTAAGCCCAAAAACGACGCGGTCGATGTCGTCCCGGCCGACAAATTCCTGATGTTGGTGATCCAAGAGCAGGTCGCTCCAAGATTTTAGGTAAAGTCGGAGTGAAGGTTCGTCCCGTTTGTACTCGTCCTTCGCCCGGAAGACTTGCTCGGCAATGCTGAACAGTTGCTGTGATTGAGCGGGAACGCACAATGAGCCCGGAATGAGCTCGGAAATGACTGCCCAGAATTGTGTGGCAATCTCGCCTTTAGTGATCGGACATGTGGATGGAAGGTCGCCGCCGCAGACGGATGTGATCTTCTGAGCGACATGCTCTCGCACAGACTGCCTGGGGTCGCTCAACAGTAGAACCCGGTGGAGTCGCGGAGATTGAGGATGCTCAACGAACGCTTCCCAAATAACTCGAGAGTGGAGTGAGGCCTCTAGGATAGTGCCGTAACAATCCTGGATTACGGTAGCGTCTTCATTTGTTTCCAGTGCCATGCATAGGATCGTCACAAGGCGGTTTCCGAGCCGTGCGCCATCTGAGAAGTAAGCAGCCGAAGCGGCGGGAGAAGGGCGTTCTGCTTAACATGAGCCATGAACCGTGATATAAGACGCGCCAGTGTGAAACTTACCTCTAAGGAACTCCAACAGAGCATGCACGAGTACCGCTGCAAGCTGCAGCTCTTGGAAGCTCGAGATGTTGTCGCTGATGAGCCGAGGATTGAGAAGAGCCTCGTTCAGCTGGCGTATGGCATGACCCAGGAACTTCTCGTCCAGATTAGACTTCTAGCTCGTTAGTACAATTGTATCAATAAGTATTGTCGGACCAACGCACATGACGGATTTGCTCTGCCAGCCTCGCCTCGAGAGCCAAAGCGGCGTATCTCGCCTGATAGAACTTTCCTGGAGGGAAGAGCTCCTCTGATAGCGCCGCACCGGTCACGACGCTCTCTGCAAAAGCATACCGCGCCGGAAAGAAGCTCAAGTAATCGAATAGCTGCTTGTGTTAGTGAAATGCATCTTGATCTCGAACGGGTACCTACCATCTGACTGATGTTGTCATCAGAGTCCATTAAGGAGAACAGTTCGTCGAAATGCTTGAGTACGGTAGATTCGAACACCGAAGACCCCGTACCCTGTCCGGGCATCGGGCGAGTGACTTCCGCGTCTGGTGCCCTTTGTACTAATAGCTGTCCCCCAAAGTCGACGCCATGAAGCTTCTCGTTCGACATCTCAGTGATGTTGAGCCGCCGACCCTTTGCGAAAAGGTTGATTTTGGTGTATCCCGATACGTGACATAATCTTTGGTAGAGGTCCTTTACTGTATGATCCGCACCCATCATGACGACTTGCCTGTCGTTGCCGCACTGAAACCGGATCGCGATCGCGTCACCGTAAGGTATGTCTGTTTCGTCGACTTTGGAATCTGCTCTCCGACTTCGGTTGAACTCTGGTTTGTGGCGTATCTTCTCCAGCAGTAGTTTCTGAAAGTTAATGATCCTGCGATAACGCTCTTCATTCTCAAGAACCATCTTCTCAGTTGCAGTGACATCCATATTCGATAAGTCTCCATTGGAGGATTGAGCGCGTATGAGCCTGCATGCCGAATGCATCTCCTGCATACATTTTTCCACTAGAACGACATGAGCGGCTTCCACATCTGCTAGCATAACGCCATCGGCTTCGTTGATCTGTACGTAGCGACTGGCAAGAAGACGGGCGGCGCGATCCTCAATAGTGCCTTCCGGTGAGGATAAAACCATAGACCACAGCACGTCTGCACCGGGGATCTTTAACACACCCTTTTCTCCTTGATCAGTCCCCACGAGCTGCCGCTTCATCGGGAAATTATAGTTGGCAACAAATTCGAACATGCCATTCGTGTAAATGCCGGTGTTCATGTGTACCATATGGGAAGAGACAAGTTGTCTGCAGTAGTTGTTGTCCGGGGCGAATTTGAGCGTCTGGGATAATTGCGCCCATGCCAAATCCCTGGTAGTGTTCGATAGCGCACGCGTACCGATTGTGTAGTCCCACAGCTGCTCATACATCTCAACGGGTATGGCTGACCCAGCGCAACAGATCATAAGTGCTAGAAGCTCCAATCTGCAACATAGAGCTGTTTGTTGACGTAGGGATGATTCGGCATTCCTCTCAGTCTCGACAAACCATGCGATCTCATCCAGAATCTTGCGTGTGACATCCTGATTCTTTTGGAAAAAATTCTCGTCTTCAGAAGGGATTGGTGCGGCGAGCGCGTAGATGACTTTTGCGCTTCCAGTCGCTTTCGTCGAATGACTGTAAATGTGATCCGCACAATCTCTGTAGATGGAATGGCGCTCTTCAACAGAGACATTAGGAGCCAGAGCTGACAGGTAATTAGCAGCCTCGTGATGCAGGTCTAACATGTCTTTGTCCGTATCCGCCTGGCACATTGTGTCGCGGATGATGCGGGTGCAAACATTCCATGGCCTAGCAGTATCTTCTCTCGCAGCATAATCTTCCGGTGATGCTTTCTCCAGGATCTTTGGGCCCAGCTCCCGCAGGAATCGAGTAATATCCGCGGTGTAGCTCCTGATAGGCAATTCATAAAGTTTCGTACAAAAGTACAAGTGATCTGCAGGCCTCATCATGTGCATGATTGCTCTAAGCATGGCCAGTGTCGCGGTAACGACACGAGGGTCAGGACTATTGGCAACGGTGTTCCAGATAGCATCCGCTTGGTCATCTGTCCAACGTCTAGTTACGACAAGAAAACCAACGATGTTACCGCTGCGCGCGATCAGTTGCGGGTGTGAGTCGACGCTGACAATGTAGTCAACGACGTTCCCATAAAGCAGAAAGTCGGCTAGATATCGCATGACGGGGTGTTCGCCTGTCGAATCGGGGTTGTTGTACTGTCTCCAGATCTCTACCAAGGAGACATCCATCATGGCTATACTCATGACGCGTAGATCCATCTTACCTTTGGTGAGGTATCGGCGCAGAAGCTTGAACTTCCAAGCGTTGGCGACTAAAGCTGGAAAGTACTGAGGCTCATCGCGATACTGGTGTTCGGGTCCAGTACGATCGACTTCGGTCGGAGAAGAAGTAGTCGGCGAATCTACGCTCCTGAAGTCGAGGAACTTGTCCACCAGATCCGATTCGATATCCTTCTCCCAGAGACAGAGCTCAAATAATAGCGCGTGAAAGTACTGAATCAAGTCTCGAGCGGAGACAGCATCGGTGGTTCTACTCAAGTCGAAGAGGTCGTCCATGTATTTCTCCAAGAATTGCAATATTCCGCGACAGAACTCGGAGCGATTGGGGTCAGTCGCAGGGCTAGGATCCTGGAATATCGAGCCGCCCAATGAAGTCAGGACCGGGGCGGCAACCAACGCAATCTGGGTTTGCACGTTCAATGGCACGCGGTGGAAGGCCTCGCTGGATAGCCGTAAGATATTTTGGGCACCGTTGGCAGCCATAAAATCCTTTTGTAACAATCCGATCATTTTGCGAACATCGACAGAATATTCTTTGCTCACCATAGCGAATGCAGGTGCCTTGTCCGGGCGAAGAATGGTATACCAGTTTCGCATATGCTTCTGACTAAGAAGAGGCAAAGAATATATCTCGCCGGGACGAGGTTGGGAGAGTAGCCATACGTCGGCGAGGAGGAGGAGGGAGCATGCCCTGACGTAGGCACTGAGGAAAGCGTAAAACATGTCGCCCGCACGACGATCATCCAAATGGTGGCTAAACGTAGCCCTGCGTGAGAGCAAATTGTGCACCAGTCCAGCGAGGTCGTCCCAAAACATGGCCTTGCTCGTATAGAAACCGTGTAAGTCTACCTGGGGGCCAGGCTCGGGTAGATCGGTCAGCCATTGCGAAATGCTGGGAAAGAAGTGGGGATCGATGTCGTTGTCAACTGAAGCATTTAGTATCGCAGGCATTTAGTGGATGTGAGACATGACCTACCTCCTTGAACATGGTTGGCCAGGTCGCGAACAACCGTGGAGTAACTCCCGTGGTGTGCGTAGGGGAACCGGCGAAAATAATCTTCTGCGTCCACATGCACGGAGGAGGCGTCTGCTTCATCGTCGTCGTCTATTATCATGATGGGCGGACTCCCGCGCTCATCCTCGGAACTAGTAATGAGTATTGGAGACTGGCCCGGGGTAGGAGAAGCAGCCTCGAGGAAGTTGTCAGGATTGGTGTAGTCCTCATCTCCACCGTGTACCGGGGAAGAGGGCGGGTGTGAGCGTATTGTCATTTCTACCTGCTTTTCCGAGGGCGACATGGCGGTGTTGACGGGAGTTTGTGGGTCGGTAGGCATAGCGCATAGACTGTTGCTCCCGCTGTGTAGGCGGGGGCGTTTGCGGGTGAAGCTTGCGTCGGCGTCTTCAATCGAGTCGCGGCGCGGCGGCGAGGCAGAGGCGGTGGTTGGCGGCTCGTCTGCAGCGACAGGCTGCACTGTGTCGTTTTCCGGCGCGGTCATGACGGTAGAGGGCAGGCGGTGCTGTTTGCGAAAGGACTAGGCGTGGCCGGCGGCTGTTAACACGCGTGCAGGCAGGTGAGGCCAGGCAGAGGCAAGCAGTTCGCCAGTACAGGCAACAGCAGCAGCTCCCAGCCTTAGTGACCGATAGCCCCGCGCGGCGGCAGGGAAAACGCGGGGGGATTGGGTCTCATTAGCGTCAGCGACTGCAACACAGTGAATTGAGGGTATGCGCTCCGAAGGAAACGGTTCCAGTTGGTAGGCAGAGCTTCAGATATTCGGACGCGTAGCTGAGAAACCCCACTATCGTCATCCTGGTTCGTTCCCGCTGTGGAGCTAGCGCGCCGCTAGCGAGCGTGCGCTAAGCTTTATCCGTCCAAGAGCGAGAAATCCTCCTTCTAATGCAAGGCACGCCGGTCTACTCCACCTTACAAGTCTCACTTATCTAGACTGAGTACTGACAAGGCTTCGGGCGCACTTCGGTCAGCTTGAAAACTACTTTTGCTGTTTCAACGTTGACGACGTGACCATCACCACGGTCAGCGGTACGAATAAGAAGGGTCAGAGAGCACACAATTCGTCATGGCCCCTGCGACGAAACAAACCGCGAAGGCCAATGCAAAACCTGTGTTCAAGACATCGTCGCCATTTTCTGAGACGCAGTGGTGGGTGGTACTATGCTTCAACCCACGAGCTATACTGATTTGTACAGGCCCGAGATCACACGCGAGGACGAAGAAGTCATATTAGAATTGCTATCCAAGTAGGTACGCAGAGAGGAGCTTCATGAACCCGCGCTCGCCGATTTCTGACAGTTGCATCATAAGTTCTCCCAATTCGGTCATTAACAATTCCATAGTCTTATTACGCCTTTAGGTGACCATCGCAGAACCTATATCCACCCATCCAAAGGCAAGAAGCGCAAACGTAACACCAAGGCAAACGAGGATGGCCCCGAGAACACACCCCCATCACCGGAAATTGGCAATCACTTGCTCGTTGGCATCAACAGTGTCACTCGGCATCTAGAGGCCTTGGCCGCAGAAAACGCTCCGACTACAGCACCTGTTTCGTATCCCGAGTCTGCTCTAGAGAGCACCAAAGAAAAACCCCCGACGACAGACTGTTCCAAAGAATCTCTCAGACCTTTAAGCATGGTCATACTAACACACCCCAAGCCCTCATTATCACCCGCACATGCCCACTTCCCAACGCTGGTCCACTTGTCGGCTCTCTCCCCATCATCTGCTGCTTCGGCCACATCCGAGACAGCTACACGACTCATTCCATTGCAGACAACAGCGGATACCCGGCTCGCGTCTAGCTTACACGTTCCCCGCGTAGGTGCCTTGGGAATTTACACAGGTGCGCCGGGAGCGAAAACATTGGAGCTATACGTCCGCGAGCACATTGGGCTGACAGAGTGCAAGTGGGTAGGCGAGGCTATGAGCGCAGAGTGGAAGGGATTGAATGTCAAAAGCGAGATACCTGGCTCAAAGTAGGTGACAATACAAGGGCAAAAATAATTTTGGCTTCTCTGGTATAGAAATATTTTGATGGTGGTGAACGATCAACAAAACGCCTGCAATGCACGTTCTTCAAGTTCAATAGCTGCTCCTGGTAGATCAGTGATGGTTCGAAGAAAAAAGAGTACTGCGCTCATCCCAGGAAGTTCTGGACAGCACCCCCGACGTTCTGAAGATCTAGCAAGAACGTGTCATGGCCGAATAAGCTCTTCTCCTCTCCAAGCTCGATGTGCGTGACGTTCTTGTTGCCAGTGCGCTTGAGTGTCGTTGCAATTTCCTTTTGCTGCCAAGCAGGGAAAAGAATATCACTGGCGACACCTAGAACAAGAGTTGGAGTATTCGCGAGTGGCTTCAGACCTGCCACGAGGTCGGCCGGTGGTTCGTTTCCGTCAGTCTGGGCTACAGCATCGATGTCGGTGGGCTGCTCCTTCTCCTCATAGGGCTGATCAGGTAAAGTCAGACTGCAGACGTCGCTGCTGGTGTCGGATGTGATATCATGGCCGTCCAAGTATGCCTGCATTTTACCGCTGTTCGCCTTGCGCACCTCGTTGATGCGGTTACGGTGCTCTTGTCCCAGATCGAATAGATCCATAGCCTTCGAAACGTAGAGCAAGCTGTTTGGATCGTACTCCAGACACCATTTTTCTCCCGCATGATCGAGGTATGTTTCAATGAGGAAGTCGGGGCAGAGAGCAGGTGGCCGCGAAGGATCGGCACGCCGGCGGCCAAATCGCTGCTCCCATTCGGGACCACTCCGATACGTGACTGTAGCGATTTCTCGGGCAAGCTTCATACCGCCGTGTGGAGGAATGCCGTCATAGTAAAAACCGCGAGCCCAGTTGGGGTCCATCATGAGTACTAGTTGCACGTCAACGATTGCGCATGGCTGACCTAGAGTGTTTGTACTGACCTTGCCGCTGAGTGTGTCTCATGGCGATACTGTATGGGTGGCTGCGCGCACATCCGCTGATGCTAACGAGACGGCCCACTCGTTCCGGGAAAAGCGTTCCAGCTGCCAGACTCTGCATGCCACCCATGCTCGATCCTACACTCGCGTACAGCTTCTGTATGCCGAGGTTATCCAGTAGTCGGAACTGCGCGCGTACCATGTCCTCCATTGTAAGAATCGGAAATCGAGTCGCGTAACGCTCGCCGTTCGCAGGGTCGATCGAAGAAGGCCCAGTCGAGCCGTAGCAGCCTCCAATGACGTTTGTGCAGATGACGAAATACTTGTTGGTGTCTAGAGGCTTCCCAGGCCCAATGAACTTCTCCCACCACCCTGGCTTCGTATTCGTCTCTGTGCTGTGGGCATGACTAGAAGCGGATAATCCAGTGTGCAGCAAGATGGCATTGCTCTTGTTGGAGTCCAGCTGCCCCCACGTTTCATATGCGATGTTGAACTCTGGCAGTATGCCGCCCCAGTCGAGCAGAATAGGCTGGGTCGAATGGAAGTTTAGCGTGTGTCCGGAGGTATACGAGGGCTCGGGCCCTGAGGACGCTCGTTTTCTTGAGAGAGACGCAGAGCGAGATTCGTGCGCGTCGAGGCATGGGAAGGATAGGGCGGGGTTTGAAGATTCGACTTCTTGGGCGGCAGCGGCGTGTTGGGCTTTCCGTGGTGTCTGCTGGTGCAGCTGTCTAGTAGCTTGGTTCGACTGCTGCCTCGCGAACAGCAGCGAAGTCTGAGATGGTCTCTTGGCGAAGCATCGAGTAGTGGTTGCGGTTCGTGATGCTCGCGCGCTGGCGAACAAACTACGGGGAACGCTCATGGCTGTAGCAGTTGCCCAGACGAAGCGCGTATCAAGGGCAGAGGTATGCGAGGGTGGAGACAGTACAGAGACACCATGATGACGCTATATTCACGATTACAAACGGGCTGGACCGTTGACGGACCCGTCGCGCGGAAACTGATGGGAATGCGACGATGTCGGATCCAATGACGTCGCGGGGAAATTGCGTGCTTCCCTCGCACGATGCCCGTCCTGCCAGCCTTCTTTAGGTAAGCACCCGCCTCTACGAAGACCTCGGGAACATCACGCCAAAAGACACCGTGCGCAACATGACCGAATCGAGAGATATCGAACGGGGAAGCACATGTCGGTCCCCAGCGGAGATGTTCGGCGGCATAGCTTCTTGCGCATCACGCCTCGAGACCGCTCCTTGAACGAACCAAACGATAACTCAGCAGAACGCAAGGTGCAACTTGAGCTCCTACACCCATTCGCATTTTGCTAGGACCTACCTCCATTTGGGGCGTTCATCAATGTCTGCAGTGCTTTTGCCGCACAGAACTTGAGGAGCACAAGAAATGTGCTAGCATGCAGTCCAGGACCTAAGATTCGAGAGCACCTGTATGTAGGCTCGCAATCGAGATGTACCATCCAAGTATTGCTTGGATCGCCTACATCACCAGGAACGAGATAACCCGAGCAGTATGCATTGTAGTTTGGTTGATTCGAAAAGTACCAAGGTAGAATGTTCGGGCCTTGGAAACATCATGTCGAACTTAGGGCGATCGATCGAGCTCTTACGACAAGAACCGTGCACGTCTTCTAATGGGAAAAGGAGGTGCAGGGCGTGACCGCCATGACCTGTTAGTTATTGAGTTGCAACAAGGGTCGCTTGTGATGGCGAGATACCGTAGCCGGCTCGTGACTCTAAGCGCCGTGCAAATGGGTGCTCAGGTGGTGTTGTACTGTGCCTAAGGCGTACACGGTGCATCTCTGCGTGACAGGTGATGGCGGCTGAAGATACATGGAAGGAAAATTGGACCGCTCCGTGCTACGCAGCACTCGAGGGTGCGGGTCTCAGCCATTGGTTCTGCGCTTGTTGGTGTCGAAGGAACCACGGCGGTTTGGCGTTCGCAAAGACAATACAATAGCATGAAACATGATGGCCTGCGCCAGACCCCTTGGGACGTTTGACGACGAGCGTCTAATTATGGACTGCACGCAAGACCGTAGACGCAGCACAGGAGATTTACCATGCAGACTAGGCTCAGTCGTCTCAAGTGCATATGCAGGGATGGTGATGTGAAGCTTGGAAATGGACGTCTGAGGTTGCCAGGGCTGAGAGATGTCTTGGCTGGCCGCCGGCGTCACTCAGTCGCGCCTGCCCACTCGAAACCTCCGCAGACCTCCTTCCCTTCGTTCCAGCGTGACTGCCGCCATATTTGCGCCCCGTTGGACGACATCGATACCCGTCCGCCGCCCCTGCCGTTCTGCCATTCGCTGCTACACAGAGAGCGCCGTGCCGTCTAGGGAACGCCATACCGCTTCCGAAGTCTGCAAGACCGCCGTCATGGACTCGTCAGACTACTTCACACCCGTCCGGGAAGACCGAGATGCCCCAGGGCCGCCGACTGAAGACTCTGACACCGACATGGCCGCCTCTGCCACCGCTACAGCCTCGTCCTCGCGCTCCACCATGTACACATCACCACACCCGCGCAAGCCCGGCCGCATGTCTCGATCGGGAGCA